CCTGGTCTCTAGTCTCTAACAAATGCCTTAACGCAATTTTGACTTTCTAGTCTTTTTGTCTCTGCCTGTCTTGGAGAACAGCTGAGAGACTGAGGGCCAGAGAAGGAGACTGGGCTGCTGGACGGCTGCCATTTTGAACTCTCATGAGTGTTGCTGTAAGTTCTGTGTGGCCCTTCAAAGGCGTTATGATGCCCAGCAGAGAAGTCCACTGCCATGGAAAGAAGTGTTGTCAGTGGCAGAACAGGGTCAAACAAGGCTGGAGAGTGGAGACATGTTTGCTCTCTGCCTTGTGGCAGCTGGCCTTGGGTTGACATGGGGCTGGATTATTCTTCTCCTTGTGTACCCAGAAGAAGAAGAGGTCAGATGTAGCCCCTGTGCCCTCTACCCAGTGGATAACTCCCCAGGAGTAGAACGGCTGGATCACACGGTAAGTGTACATTTAACTTTTTAAGAAACTGCCAAGTCTAGAGGGATTGTCCTATTTTACATTCTCATGAGCAGTGTTCAGGAATTCCAATCCCTCCAAATTCCTGCCAACATTTTCTACCGCCAGTCCTTTTAACATCAGCCATCATAATAAGCCTATCATAGTTTATCATTGTCATTTTATTCTGCATTTTCTTAAAAGCTAAAGAAGTTGCACAGGGTGGGCAAACTTGTTTTGTAATGAACCAAATAGAAAATATTTTAGGCTTTGTGAACCATGTGGTCTCTGATACAACTGCTCAACTCAGGCAAGGTAGCACAAAACCGATTACACAATGCATACACAAGTGGCTCTGGCGGGGCGCCTCCAAGACCATTCCCAGGTGCTATGATTAGTTAGAACTCACAGGACACAGCATGGCTATGCTTTATTACAGCAGGAAGCGCGGAGCAAAAGCCGCAAAAGCAGAGCTGAATGGCGCTCACTCGGTGAGATGAATTGGCACGGCGGCTGTACTAGTGGGCTCAGGCTTGGGAACAATGGAGAGGGTGGTGAGAGACCACCATGCAGTGTCTTGGTCTGTTGTGCCTACGCTCGAAACGGGTCAGAGCTGACGTGATGGCGCCTAACAACAGCAAGGTGCTAAGTCCCAAAGAAGTGAAAGCCGGAATGCAAACAAGTCCAAGTACACCAGGGTTCATTGCAGCATGATCACGATGGCCAAAGGTGAAAATAACCTAAAAGTTCATCAGTAGATGAATACATAAACAAAATATGGATACTTAGGCACTGGAATACGATTCAGCCACAAAGAGAATTGTGGTGCTGGGAAGAATTTGAAAGTATCGTGGACTGCTGAGAGGACAAATTGATCTCTCTGGGAGCAATAAGGCAAAGACGGCAAGACTTCGTTTCACATACTGTGGCCATGTTGTCAGGCGAGACCAGTCCCTGGAGAAGGACATCCTGTTTGGTCAAGTGAAAAAGAGGAAGGCCCTCCGTGGGGTGGATGGACACAGTGGCTGCATCAATGGGCTCAGGCACAGGAACCGTTGTGAGGCTGGTGCAGGACCGTGCAGTGTTTCTTTCTGCGGTGCATAGGGTCCCTATTGGTCAGAGCCAATCCAAAGGCACCCAACAACAACAACAACAACATGAGGGAATTTAACAAATCTTAACCAGCCACAATCAGGAAACATTTTGGATACAATCACTGCTTCTCAGCCAGTAGCGAAGTCTCGCTCCAGCTCTCAGCCTGTAAACTACATGTTTCCTTGGCTACTGCCTTCCTGGGTCAGGTAGGCAGCCTCCTGCTCTGTCTCACAGTCTCATCGTCTCAGCTGTACTCCTTCCTCTGTTCGATCCCATGGTTCCCTTCTCTCAAGTCTAGTCTTAGCCTGCTTCCTGGTCTCCGTGCTGTGGCCTGTGGTGCCTCTGGCCCTGGCCTCCACCACTTCAGATGGAGATCTCAAACTGGTGGCTCTTGGTCCTGGGACTTTTCCATGTGTTCCTGCTTCGGAGGTGGCTCATTCTTATACAGATGTGTGTTTTTGGTCTTTCAAAAGACTTTACTCCCAAGGAAACAAAGGGTGTGATTGGTTCACACCGTCTGTTGCAGACTTCACCCGTTAGCAAAGCAGAGAACTCCATCCAAAATGAGACTGTAGCCGTAGGCACTGAGTATAGAAATGAGGCTGTATTACATAAGAGATTATGGCTAGAACGGCCCCATTAATTGACTAACGTCTCAGATGCTCACAATGTTTTGCTTCCGGACTTCCTGGAGGCTTAAAGAGCGATAACATCTGTCTATTATGAGAGCATTTTGAAAAAGGCAAAGCTTTAGCAGGAAAACTTCAGGAAAAGCTATACCAGAGACTCTTTGTCCACCACAACTAAATTCCTGCTCCATTATGCTCATCAAGCAAGGGCAAGTTTGAAAGAATTTCTATGGGAAATCTGTAGATTGTACAGTTTTGATTTGGCTCTTCCCTCTTCTCCCACCCCACTGCATCCCCAATTTCTTTTTGTGTCCTAATCTTAAAAAAATCTTTAAAGGGAATCCACTTTTCTCTAGTTAATAATCTAAGAAAATGTGAATTTCCATGGTCAAGTTCCCCAGACCCTTAGTTCTTCGGTGATAAATTAAATGGCTGGTACCATAGAGCTCAGGCAGAGAAATACATATTTGTTTATTTTTATCTTTTGTTTAAATCATTTTACTGGGGGCTCATACAATTCTTATCACAATCCATCCATCCATCCATTGTGTCAAGCACATATGTACATTTGTTGCCATCATCATTCTCAAAACATTTGCTTCTACTTGAGCCCTTAATATTGGCTGCTCATTTTTCCCTCTCCCTCCCCACTTCCCCCTACCTCATGAACCCTTCATAATTCATAAATTATTGTTTTGTCATATGTTACGCTG